ACGAGTGGTTCTATGGGGAGGACATCGGGGGCCGTTTTCCCCCGCCAGAGGACCACGTCCTGGCAATTGCCGAACGCAACGCATGGCGTAAGATTCACGAGAAGATGCATGAGGGCAACACCCTCAAGGCTGCCATGCTGTCGGTCAGGCAGGACACATTGTTCTGGACACGTGAGGTCTATGAGAAGATCAAGACCTTTTCCAGGGGTCGCCCACCAACCAGGACATCCATGGACTACGCACCCACCCCAGAAGGGCAAGAACAAGTCCAAGGGCAAGGGGAAGTCCAAGGGCAAGCCTGGGAACAAAGGGAAGGGAAAGACCCCCCACCCGAACAATCAGGTGTCCCGGGGCGGTAGCAAGCAGGCAGCCACCGACCCGAAAGGGAACCAGTTCTGTAACAACTGGATGCGTGGGCGCTGCCCGGGCAACTGCGGCCGCACCCACAAGTGCAACCTCATCCTGGCAATGGGCCGCATCTGCCTGGGGGACCATCTCCCGCAGGACTGCCCGGGTTGACTAGGGGCGCTGACCCCTACCCCCCGTGAGGCCTCAGGTGCCGAGGGCCCTGACAAGGCCCGGGGGGGCGAGAAGGGGCGCAAACGCCCCAAGCAGGCACAGGAGCCCCCTCCCGCAGGTGCCGAGGGCCCTGACACAGGGGGGGGACAGGCCAGGTGGCGGCCATCCTCGGCGGAACAAGGATGGGGACGGCAGAACCAGCGTGCACAACGCCCTCGCCGTGATCAGACCAGCCACACAACCGGCACAACGGCGGTGCCTCAGTCCCGAGCCACAGGTGCCGAGGGCCCTGATATGGCGGGGGCGGGACGTTTCCCCGCAGGGCCCTGACACGGGGGGCCGCACCCAGAAGGTCCGAGTGCCGGATGACTGGCAGCACACCGCAACGCCAAGGGACACTCCCAGGAGGAAGCCGATCCCACTTCCGGCGCCCAACATCATCAAGCAGGACCCGGTGGTTTTCCACAAGAGCTCGGTGGGGCTGAATGAAGGGGGCCAACGCCTTTCAGCTACCCCCCTGACAAGTCCAACGGAGCCGTCACCGGGACTGGACATCTTTCCGTGGATGGAGAACATCCCTGAGCGTCTGCTACAGCACAGGGCACATCCCCCAAAGTTCCATCCAGTGGGCCCATCATTGTCCTGCTCTATGCAGGCAAGGAAGACCCAACCTCTTTGGACAGTTGTCTTCATGCCAACTACCCACACCTCTCCAGCATGGTGGTGGCGGTAGACATCCTACGGTCTGGACCAAAAGGGGACCACGATATGCTCCAACCCGAGCTGTATGGAGCTCTTTGCACGGCAGCAAAGCAGGGCCGAGTGGTTTTGATTGGAGGAGGACCCAACTGCAGGACATGGTCCATCCTGCGCCACATACCAAAACCGTGGGCTCCCACCCCGGTGCGAGGGCGCACTCCAGAGACACTTTGGGGCATTCCACACCTGGACCAGGCCGCCCAGACTCAACTTGATGATGACAGCATCCTCATTCTGAGACAGATGTACATCACCAGTCTGGCAAGGGCCTCACGAGCGGCGGTTTCTCTGCCAGGGCCCAGGTCCTTCCTAGAACACCCGGAGGACCCAGTGGTGAGCAGCTCGCTGCCCAAAGCCAAGGAATGCTCATCCTTCTGGATCACAGAGGAGGGGCAGCTTTGGATGGAGGAGAACTCCTTGACAGCAATCTCCTTCGACCAGTGCCGCCTGGGCCAGCTGGTCAAGAAGGCCACTACGTTGGCCACGGATCTCCCGATCCAGGACTGGGATCAAATGCGGTGCACGCATCAGTCACATGTGGGCACCAACGAGTCCTCGACTCTTAGCAGATACCCTTGGGATATGATGGCAGGCCTGGCCAAAGCCATCGCTGTGTCACTCGCAGCGCCGGGGCACATCCGGATCCCCTCTCAATTTCCGGGGAACCCCAAGGAACCACCTAAGGGGCGGGGGCCGGACCCCCCGGAAGGCCATTCCCCCCGGGGAAAACGGGGGCCCAGTCAAGGAGGGCTCAAAGCCCGGAGGCAAGAACGCCCCGAAGCCCCGCATGCACGGGCAGTCCCACCCTGAGGCAGACACCGTAAGCCCTCGTGGGACAATGAACCCAGACATCCCATCTCCCATGCCCCCGATGGCCGGAGATGTGGAAAAACTGGGGAAGGAGGGACCAGGTCCTGGACCGCCCCGAATGCCTGCCCGCTTTCAGGGTCCCACACCTCACTGACCAGGTGGCGATTGTCCAATTGGGTTTCCGCTCACGCCTTGTGAGGGATGGGGGGGGAAAACCTTCCTCTGGGAGGCTCAACCCCCCTTTTCGGAGAATATCCCCATTGGCTACTTTGGGCGCCCTGATCATGACCCTTACCCGGCCCTGGATTGACAAGGTCCGAATGTCCCTGGCATCAGGTGCCACCACACACCCCTTCCAGGAAGCCGACCTCGAGGAGCTGCGGGCTATCCTAGGACCGAGGCACCTCCATGAACGATGCCCAGGACAACCCTTCCTCCTGGACTTAGTGTCGCACTTGGCATCCCTTTCAGGTGACCCTGATTGGGAGTTCCCCCTAACACTGAAAGAGGGGGTCCCCTTGGGAGTCTCGGACCCTACCTTGACCTCCCCGGGAGTTTGGCCCACTAAGGAGGAGCTTAAGGGAGAAGCCTGGCTGGGGGAAGATCCCCCCCCGCCAGTGGCTCATGATAACTACCCAACGGCTGAACTCTTTGCCAAGGAAATCGAATCAACCTTTTACGAGGAACGAGCCTTGGACATGGTGGACGGGCCCTTCACTCGCTCCGAGGCGGCAGAGAGGTGCCGCTGTAAACCGGAGGAACTTTGCCCGGGCCCTCTTGCAGGGATTGATGAGTCGGACAAGATCAGGACGATCTATGATGGCTCAAAAGGGGGAGCAAACGCACACATCCAGGCTCACACAGAGGAGAAGACCACCGCACCGATGGTTGGAGACTGCCTCCATGCCATCCACTGGCTCAGGACAGCGGCGGACCATCCTCATCTACTCCGAGCCCCGTACTCGGGTACTGATGTGGAACCTCGGGACGTTGACCAGCCGGTACAGGGGCAGTCCCCAGGTGCCGAGGGCCCTGAGAGGGACCCCCCACCACCAGCCTGCCCCCAGGTGCCGAGGGCCCTGATAGAGGCAGGCGGATGATGGAGACCTCGGGTGGCTTGGACGTCTCTCCGCGGTCAACACCCCCAGGGAAGGGGCCACTCCCAGGTGCCGAGGGCCCTGATAGGAGGGCCCCATTCCCCCCAACCCCCCCAGGCACGGACCCTGGAGGGAGCAGGGGGGAACCCCTGACGTGGCAGCCGCCGACACAGTGGGAAACCTTCATCATCCTCAAGGCGGATGTCACCAAGGCCCACAGGCGCATAAAAGTGCTCCAGAAAGACTGGAAATACCAGGTGGCCTGCATCCAGAACCGGTGGTGGGTCAATAGAGTGGGCACGTACGGCATGGCCTCGGCACAACTGTACTGGGGAAGAAAGGCATCCTTGGTGCTCAGACTCTTGTACTACATCTTCCCTCAGGTGGACTGGCACTTAGTTTTTGTGGACGACTACTGCTGGGTCCTCAGATGCAGCAGGGCGGACTGGGACGCCACAGCCATCCTGGCCACTCTTCTGGCGCTGGGAGTCCCGCTTTCTTGGAAGAAGACGGCGCTCTCCCCGGTCAATACCTGGTTGGGATTCGTGGTGGACCCAATCACGCCCTGTGTGCTGCTGGCTCCAGTCAAGCACGTCATAATCCTGGCCACTCTCAAACGGCTGGCCCAGGGGGACATCTTTACCAGCAAGGAGGTGGAACAAGCCCTGGGCCGGATTCAATGGGCTACTTCGGCGTGTCCATTGACGAAACCTTTCCTCCAGCCCTTTTGGAGCTGGAAGAAGGCCTGCACCACTTCGGGCAGGCCACCGAAGCTGGTTCGTGCTCTGGCCATCCTTCTGGGGAAGCTCTTCAACCAGAGGTTCCCACTGGCATCTCCATTTGCTCCCACACTTCCATGGACGGGGGCATCTGATGCGGGAGCTGGCAAACAGGCGGACCATGCATGGGTTGGGGGTTGGTGCTCGGACGTGCCCAACCCCGACAAGTCCCATGTGAAGTGGTTCCAACACAAAATCACACCGGAGGGCGAGCCGTGGGCTTTCACTACTGGGGACCCGCAGCGGGCGATAGCGGCCTTGGAGCTCTTCGGCCTCCTCCTTTTGGTGAGGGCTGTTCTGCTTTGTGCAGCCGGCTCTGTTTCTCACACTAGGATTCTGGTCGCTAGTGATAACCAGGGAAACGTTTTCTCCCTGCTTAACGATTCCACTCGCAGGATGCCCAATGCGGCCATCCTCATGGAAATTGTGTTAACACTGCATGACCACCAGGTCATGTTGGGACCGTCGCATGTGAAGCGCGACTTTAACACATGGGCGGATGAGCTTACTCATCCGGACCCGCAATTTCCGACTGAGAACAGGGTCTTCCCCTCAGTCGAAAGCGAATTGATCAAGTTGATCTTCGCTACGTTCCTTCCTCACCCATGATGCCGGGAGGGCATCCGGTGAGGTGGGAGGATTCCTCCCTCGCTGTGGGAGTGGCATCAATTCTACTCCCATCAGCTGCTGAGGGGAGCTGCCCAGTGGAGCTGGGCAATCCTCCCATTTTGGCACTAACCCTTTTGCGGCGTAAAGGATGCACCGTTTCGCGCTTAAGGTTACAGTAGCACCAATGTGGTGCTTTGAAGAGTCCTTGCATTGTTTTGAATTTGCCGTGCCAGGTTTACGGTTTCCAACATATAGCTTCCGATGGCTTGCGCCAAACAGTCATGTGTTTCCCGAACCGAAATTACCAGAACCCATTCAGAATTGGTCACACAACATTTCAAAGGGCCCCCCCACGGCCACAGCCTCCCAAAACCCAACCAAACTCCTCAGTCTTTGGCGCGGTTTCGCCGTTTCCGGTGACCTGAAGGCCAACCCCAGCTTAAACATGAAGTTCGCAGAGCTCGAGGAAAAGGCGACCGCGCAGCTCCTCGCGCCCAAGGAGTAGTTGCATAAAAGCGGTTTGGGGCGCGAGGTGGTGTTTCTTTTTTTGCCTCAGGAAGTGAGCTTCAGGGATGCCCCGAGAAAGGAGCTCGTTTTTATAGGGCGTTTCATGTGACCTCTGCAAAGAGAGCAGGGGGTGTGTCTTTTTGTTTTTGTATTTTTTCCATGGGGGGTGAGTGCCCCAGGCTGGGTTGCCTCAGGGGTTTCGGTCGGTTTGCCTTCTGATAGAATGAAGCCCTCTGGTTGAATAATCCTTTCCTCTCGGGAGGTCGTTTCTTCAATAGTTGAGATGGCAGTGTTGCCTTTTCCGCAAGGCACCCAGCAAGGGGGAATGTTCAGGTTTTTCTCACACACCCCTATGTTCAGTGCGTCGTGTTTCCGTTCTTTTTCCTTGCGAGACCCGTATGATGGGCCCAAAGATTCCCGGAGCGGGATGCCCCGCGCCCTGCTCCGGCGAGTGGCGGGTAGCGGGGTGTGTTCGGCCACTCAAGCGGGGCACTTCGCCCTGCCGCCGTGTCACCAGAGGGAAGTCCGGAGGCCGAGGCCGGCCAGAAGCAGTTCCTGGGATCCAAGTTTACCACCGCGGACCCTGCAGGGTAACTTCTTGGGACAAAAGAACGATCGTGGCTAAACTTGTTGAGGCGTCCGACGAGCCCCTTTCTAATTGCAGGCCCTTGCAGTGTACCTGGTCTGAAGCTTCTTCTCTTCTGATCAATGTTAACCCCGGATGAATAAACTCCTCGTTGATTAATAGGGGGGACAGGGGATTCAGACCACTTTTGGAGGGAACACCCCCCCAAATAGTGGGACGGGTTTATTGATCCTGGGTCAACCTGATTTTTTTCGCATAATCCTGTACCCCCAATGAACATCCCAAACCCCACAAAAATAAGTTCTACAATGGGTGGTGAAGTCACCTACCAACCAAAATGGGATCCCAAAACGGTTTTGACAAAAGCCAAATGTGGCAGAGGCACTGGCCAAATGGAGCCCTGGTCAATGGAAACATCGACTAAAAGCGTGCGGTCCAATTCCTGGTGGGTGAAAAAAACTACCCATACCCATGTGGCGCAAACCTTGCAAACAGCGAAAGCAGGTCTCGGGGCTCGGGCGCAAGCCCAGGTACGGGTCCATACCCATTCAGCTGGTGTGGCTCTCTTCAGCCTGGCAGATCCTGGACCAGGCGAAGCTCTCGACTCCGGTTTTCGATCGTAAGCAAATCGACATTGTCTTTGGTGCATCTTGCCAAGGGATGTTAGGACATGACTTTTGGCCAACTCATGGCGTTTTCCGTATTAAACCACTAAAAGTGTTTAACTTTTAGCAGGGGAGCAGACAGCAACCGAGTTTTGACCTTCAGTTTCCTTCTGCGGTCCATGTTCCCTTCCATTTGCTGAAGTGAATATTTTTTATTTTCCCCTGTTGGTTTTGAAGGGAATCTATCCCTACTGGATTGTTTTTCATTTTTCCCAGGGGTCTTAACCAAATGGAAGTTTCTCATGACAAAAATCAACACCTTTGTTTCCGGGTGCTTCGGGGAATGCCAAAAAAGATCGCCAACCCCGTCTTGGGGCTTCTCAAGACTACTGCTACTGCTGCTATGCTACTACTTCCACCACTACCACTACTGCTGCCGCTGCTGCTGCTGCTGCTGCTACTACTACTACTGCTACTACTACTCCTGCTGTACTACTGCTGCTGCTACTACAACTGCTACTACTCCTGCTGTACTACCGCTGCTGCTGCTGCTACTACTACTACTACTCCTGCTGTACTGCTGCTGCTGCTACTACAACTGCTACTACTCCTGCTGTACTACTGCTGCTGCTGCTACTACTACAACTGCTACTACTACAGCTACTACTGCTGCTGCATACTACTATCTGCATCTACCACCAATAATAATGGCCATCATGATAATGAAACAAGAAGCGTAGCAGCATGTGTTCAGAAGAATGATGGTATGTGTTGCATTCAATTGGTTTGCGCTCTTTCTATGTCCTCAGAAAGCCAAGTGCCTCAGAATGGCTCAGGTGGGCATTGAACATGCAGTCAGAGCGCTGGAGGGTGCCACCATTCCCGACTACACCCGCTTTGTGACGAAGCAATCGATGCCGTCTCGGCTGAAAAGAGGGGAGAAGGGGTGGACGAGGGAGGTGAGCAGTGGTGAAAACCGAAGCAAGGGCTTTTTCGGATACCGAGAAACGGGACGTGTCTCTTTTGGTGTGTTGTCCCGTAAGACTTGGCCTGGGTGAGTGCCTCTGCCACATTTGGCTGTGGGTCAAAGCCAATGGGATCCCATTTTGGATGGTAGGTGAATTTACCACCCATTTTAGTCGGGATTTTAGTGGTTGGATTGGGATGTTCACTGGGGGCTAACCGGGATTTTGACATATCATTTAAGTGTAAGTTAACAACCTGGCCGCAACCTCCTTGACTCAGTGAGCTTCTTGATTCGCAGGTGCCTTCTCAAATTCATTTCAGAGTGATGGCAGCCTCATACCTGACTTCTATTTTCTTCAGACAAGCTTTTTGTTATGCCTTGTTGGTTTTCAAGGGCATCTATCACTGCTGGTAAGCAAACAGAGGCTGGTGAGTTTGTCTCGCTTTTGCGCTGGTTTGCGGCCAGAATGTCAGATGAGCCACGTGCTCAAAGCCGATTCGGGTAGATGATCCGGTTAAGGGGCAGTCCCAGCCAGAAATAGTTGCGGATATCCGCCTTCTTAATGCTTTACATGGTTCTGGGTAGACCAGTTTACCCCTGCCTGTTTTAACACTCCCTGGATGTAGGGCTGAAAAAAAGTTTTTTCAGCTCTTTGAGAGTACGCAGCTTTGGCTGAAAAGCGCCCAGCTTAAAATACAAAAACAAAATGCGATCAAAACCCAACTCCGTGAGTCAGCCAGAGGACTCCGCCTCGCTTAGACCTACTGACCCGGAGGATATGGGCCGTTTTTTTACAGCCCTGGCACCTCCCAGAGTTGCCCTTGTTTCCTTGTAACAAAAAAGCAACCTTCAACATTGTTTATTTGTTTTACAAACAAACACCAGACACCAAAAAACGACCTTCAACCTTGGAACCTTTTAGAGGCGATGTTGCTCCATGGTGCATGCGCACAGGGCGCTTCTGCGGGCTCAGTTGGAGGTTGAGGACGAGCCCCCACTAAAACGAATGAACGTCCCGGCGGTTTGGCTGCCCGGAGGTATTGTGCACAACTTGTTTGACATGTTTTTCCGTTGTCAAAGATATGGCCACCCATTTTGGAGCCTGCCACATTTGGTTTGTTTTTGTTTTTGCGTCAAAGTGTGGTGATATGTGCGCGTGTGTCGATTGACATAGTCGGAACCGGATCAAATTGAATAGCCCAGACAAGATTCCCGGATGCAAGCCGTGAGGGAGCCGAAGGCACATGCACCTCAACTCCGCTGCAAATTCAGTCACCAATTGGGTGTGGATTAATTTTAAATCCACCAGGAATTGGACCGCAGGTTTTAGTCTTTGGTTCCATTTACCAGGCAACCCGTTTTGGGTGCCTATTTTCGACCCACAGCCAATTGGAGACAAGAGAAACCAACCACTTCGGCCCAAGGATCCATTTCTGCGCCAGAGTCAAAGTCAGCCCGCTCAGGGGGTGCTTCCGGAGTGAGCTTTGCTCATGTCAGAAAGCGTTTGGGTATGTGTCAAAACGTGTTCAAAGAATCCAACAGGGAACAAACTCCATGTGGCGGAATTTCCGCAGTTTTCCCTGCCATTTGAGCAGGGTTCCTTACTGTAAAAGTTACATTTTGCAACCATTTGAAAACCACCATTTACAAGGCAACGTTCAGGTGTTTTTCATGTAAGGATCCCTGAGCCTTTGTTCCTCAGCCGGCGAAGCATCGCCGAGGTATGGTGCCAGGTTTCCGACCTTCATGGGATACATTATCTTTCTTCCCACTGGCAAGCGCATCGTGCTCAGGCTGGATGGTCTCGGGCTATCGTCACCTGAGTCCCTTAAAAAGGAGTCTTACTTCTTTTGTATGAGGGGTCATTTTGAGGGTATCACTTTGCTGCGATAGGGGATGTGGCCATGAACTCAGGGACCTCCTGAAAGGAAACCTCAAGGGATGGCAAACAAGGGGGTCATTCCGTTTCTCGTTCCCTGCATCTCTCTCTCGCACCGATCGGAAGTTCTTTGGACGCGGGAAATTCATGAGGGTGCTCTGTGGGATCCGAGGGCAACGAATTCCTACACGAACTCCACTGACGAATTACTCACAAAGGCCACAAATGAAAAGTATCCGTTCAGGGGGTGTTTTCACCAGGCTTGCTCACCACTTACCTGACGTAGCGAATCCATGGCCCCTTTAAGTAGCACTGGCTGATGCTCCATCCGGAGTTATTTGTAGTATTATAGTTAGATTAAGTTGGCAAACCTATGCCCAAATTCTGAAGGCTGCGCGGTGAAACAGCTTCCTTTATGGATGCCCTGGGACAACTGAGCACTTTTTTTCATTGAGGTGTCGAGCCGCATGAAAATGGAGCTAGCGATACCTGAGACATGACTCGAGGATCTTGTTATCGTCATCTTGTGTTCCCACCAGAGCTTGGAGATCGTGTTGTTTCGGGTGTTGTGGGCAGTATATGTACCTAGTATTCCTAGTTCGTTGCACATACTACCGGTTACATCCAGATCATGACACATGCATACTGCCTGTTCATCCACGATGACACCAAAACGCGAGCGCCCTGAGAGCATGCGTGTGGCGCAAGAGAACAATCGCTTTTTATTTACTGCTTGGCAGGTTCAACACATCCAAGAGCAGACAAGGCTGTTCGTTGCATTCAAACCCGGAAACCAACTTGCGATGCCTTGCATTTAAGGAAGGCCAATCATTCCACATCCACATCCATATTGGTGGAGTCAGTGAAGTGTGGAATGTCAAAGATACCATGAATGGACGAATTCCATTCGCACCACTTTGAAACCATGGTTGACACCCTTGTTTGGTATTTACGTTGGGGAGTCGACTCAGAAACCAGGGTTTCTGAACGGTGCGAGAAGCGGAAAGCCGCAACCATCCACAGTAGGGCGCCCAAAAGGGGCTCCCTACTGTGGATGGACGAAATCCTGCCCCACCTTGGAGGTGGTCCGGGGTTCCCATGTACCCTCTACAAAATCCAGAGGTTCACATCCCCTAAACCACAAATCCGAACCACCACCTAAGGATTGGACAAAGAGTCGAATCCTGTAGATGTGACTGTGAGCCCTGGTCAAAGGAATGATAAGCGATTCCCAACGTAAACACTCATGTTTTTCGAGCGTGTTGCTTCTGCCTACAGCTGGTGGTTAGTTGAGCATGAGGGATCAAAACACTCCAGGGTTGCCCGAACCCAGAACGAAGGCGACCCTAAACGAAGCCTCCAGACATATTCAGTTCACCGTTTAATCGAGATGGCTCACATGGACTTGAGACTGCAGTGCCTTCACCATTGTTTGTTAGGAATGCGTGGCTACGAAGGAAGCTTTAAGTTGAAGACATCCTACAGAAAGTGTGGGCAAGCAATTATCAGATGGCAAGTAGAAAGCATCCCGTGGTAACACGTAATCAAAAGCTTTCTCCGCGGGAAGAGACCAGTAGCTGCTAGCTGCTTCAAGATCGTTGTGCGGAGACACCAAAAACTGACGCAGTTCATGGAAGAGTCTCGGGTGAAACCTTGCGACCGCATATGAGCTTCAACACATGGCACTTGGCCTCCGCACTTGCGCAGAACGGATGTGGCAACGCGACAGATGGTGCCGCCTGTTCTGCCCTCAAGCCGCCTGTCTCAGGGTACCGGGTTTTCAAGCAGTGTACATGGCAGAACTTTTTGCAGTGCATCTTGCTAACTGCTGCTATACCAGCCAGCCAGCAATTTCCATGGGAAGTGCATCTGCAGGTTTCCATGATCGGAGGGCTCACTGACAGATCCCAAAGCTTCTCCTCTCGCGGGGCCACTCTGGTTGAAATCAACCTTTCTCACTCCCAGAGTTCCTGGACTTGACACTTTTCCGGACGATCATGTTACAGAGAAGGGGGTTCTTTCCTGACCCAGCAAGATGTGAGCGTTGATCCCCTTGCGGATGATATATTTGCTACCCACAACTTTGTTATCCCCTTGTACGGATCCTCAACTTTTGTTCCCCACAACTTGGGATTTGTTTGCTACCCAGAGTGTGCTTCCAGAAGCTTGGCCGAGCCATCTTTGAGAAAATCCCCAGACAGGGTTGATGTTTTTCTTGTCACATCAAACCAACCGTTCCGGGGTTGTCCTGGGTAAAGGACATACCCATTGCCCTTCCTAGCATGGCAACCGTTGGGAGCGAAGACCGTGTCAGACAACAGGCCCGCGAGTCAGACAACACGAGTCAGACAACGCCAACGCGCGAGTCGGACAACGCCTACGCGCGAGTCAGACAACACTCGCGCGTGGTTGCGGAAGCGCGTTCAGGAACTGCCCCCAATGGGCCGTCGTTGTCTGACACAGCGCTTCCCGTCCGACACGTGGCCTCCACGGCCGACTCGGACCGTCAGGTTCTGACTCGGAGACCTTACTTTGCTAAGTTAGCTCCGCGTCCGCGCTTCTTCTGGCGTGCCCGCCGTCCCATACGCGGCCGACTCGGGCCGTCGTTGTCTGACACGGCGCTTTCCGTCTGACACGTGGCCTCCGCGGCCGACTCGGGCCGTCGGGTTCTGACTCGGAGACCTTACTTCTCCGTGTCCCCGTTTCTCTGGCAACTGCGGGCGCGCGCGGATGCCTTGCAGGCTTTGCGTTGCGCGCCTCCGCGCGGTTCGTCCCCCAGCTTGTCTCCCAGTTTCCTAGCGCATGCGTATGAATTGCAACGCCGCGCTTAGAGCTGCAGGATGCCCTGCGGCGCCACAGCGCAGGATGCCTTGCCTTCAAGAACAGGATTCTTGGTCTTGAAGTGCAAGATGCCCTGCCTAAGTGCAGGATGCCCTGCGGTCCAACGCAGGATGCCCGGCCAGCTTGGCGCTGCGTGAAAAGCAGCAAAAGAAGCTGCAGCGGTCGCTGGCTCGCCAGCAGCAGCCCGCAAGGTGGGGTCGATGCTTTTTTGTGCCAGGGCATTGCAGCCCGTGCTGAGTCTTCAGGGTCCAATTTTGAAGTGCGGGCGGAAAAAGCCCAAGTGTCCGTACACTCGATCGATGAGTGTGCAACAATGGGGGCGCTTGCCAGCAAGTTGGCAGCGCGCTTGGCCACGCAGTTGGTCCAAGGTCTTCTGGGGGATGCGCCCGAAAAGGGCTGTGACAGTCTAGGGGTTGCTGGCGTCGCACAAAGCAGGGCGATCCGGAGTCATTGCTTCATGCTGACCGTGACCTGCAACTGATTTGTGTTGTGAGTTGCCTTGCTTGCCTTGCAGCGCTCTTGGCCCGAGAAGTGTTTCAGCCACTTGTCAGTCTTGGCTGCCGCACATGTCCGTCCAACTTGACACGCAGCACGTCATGGCTTTGGTGGGTGGGATGCAGGCTGCGCTGGCTGCTCACCGTGGCCGGCATGAGGAGGTCACATACGGCAACTTCACTCCCTTGTGGCATCTGGAGCAGTGCTTGCGCATCCAGTACAGCCTCTGCCGCCACGTTGGAGGGGAGCAGTCCTCTACCAACCTGGACACCGTCACCATTCTCATGACAGTGATCTACAGCCTCCGCCGCTGTGAGCACTGGAAAGTGACATGCTCCTGGCCTGACCTCCAGCCTCCCTGTGAAGGCAATAATCCCGTGTCCTTTCGCACACAACTGCAGCTGACCTGGGGGGCATCCTGGCGAACGCACGCAGAGACCTTGGAGCCGCTGCTTGTGTCCTGCATGAACCACGTGCAAGAGTATGAGCCAGTGTATGGGCGGTCTCGCAGCATGGGCTCCTTGTTCAAGGCTTGGCACGCGTTCTCCGACGACATGCTGCTGATGCTGCGTGGTTTGTTGGGTGAGCCTTGGCCGTCTCACACCGGGTAGCTGCAGCTTGAATGACATGGCCGGTGACGAAAAAGTCAGATTTGCAAGCAGCCGACTCGGGCCGTCGTTGTCTGACACGGCGCTTTCCGTCTGACACGTGGCTTCCGCGGCCGACTCGGGCCGTCGGGTTCTGACTCGGAGACCTTACTTCGCTAAGTCAGCTCCGTGTCCCCGTTTCTCTGGCAACTGCGGGCGCGCGCGGATGCCTTGCAGGCTTTGCGTTGCGCGCCTCCGCGCGGTTCGTCCCCCAGCTTGTCTCCCAATTTCTTAGCGCATGCGTATGAGTTGCAACGCCGCGCTTGGAGCTGCAGGATGCCCTGCGGCGCCACAGCGCAGGATGCCTTGCCTTCAAGAACAGGATTCTTGGTCTTGAAGTGCAAGATGCCCTGCCTAAGTGCAGGATGCCCTGCGGTCCAACGCAGGATGCCCTGCCTTCAAGGCCAGCATGCTTGGTCTTGGAGTGCGGGATGCCTTGCTTAAATGCACAGGCGCGGTCCAAAACCTGACACGGAAAGAAAAAAACAACGCAAACAGAAGCAGACGGCCTCAAACAAAACCACGCAGAGCCTGCCGATCCAAAACAGCCCAACAGCACGGCGGCGCCGCACAGCAACCCAAACGGCATGAAGCAACTGCGGGCGCGCGCGGATGCCTTGCAGGCTTTGCATTGCACGCCTCCGCGCGGTTCCTCCCCTAGCTTGTCTCCAAGTTTCCTAGTGCGCGCGTATGCATTGCGACGCCGCGCTTAGAGATGCAGGATGCCCTGCGGCGCCACAGCGCAGGATGCCTTGCCTTCAAGAACAGAACTCTTGGTCTTGAAGTGCAAGATGCCCTGCCTAAGTGCAGGATGCCCTGCAGTCCAACGCAGGATGCCCTGCCTTCAAGGCCAGCATGCTTGGTCTTGGAGTGCGGGATGCCCTGCTTAAATGCACAGGCGCGGTCCAAAACCTGACACGGAAAGAAAAATCCCGCAAGCAGAAAGCAGACGGCCTCAAACAAAACCACGCAGAGCCTGCCGATCCAAAACAGCCCAACAGCACGGCGGCGCCGCACAGCAAACCAAACGGCATGAAGCAACTGCGGGCGCGCGCGGATGCCTTGCAGGCTTTGCGTTGCGCGCCTCCGCGCGGTTCCTCCCCCAGCTTGTCTCCAAGTTTCCTAGTGCGCGCGTATGCATTGCGACGCCGCGCTTAGAGATGCAGGATGCCCTGCGGCGCCACAGCGCAGGATGCCTTGCTTTCAAGAACAGAACTCTTGGTCTTGAAGTGCAAGATGCCCTGCCTAAGTGCAGGATGCCCTGCAGTCCAACGCAGGATGCCCTGCCTTCAAGGCCAGCATGCTTGGTCTTGGAGTGCGGGATGCCCTGCTTAAATGCACAGGCGCGGTCCAAAACCTGACACGGAAAGAAAAATCCCGCAAGCAGAAAGCAGACACCCTCAAACAAAACCACGCAGAGCCTGCCGATCCAAAACAGCCCAACAGCACGGCGGCGCCGCACAGCAAACCAAACGGCATGAAGCAACTGCGGGCGCGCGCGGATGCCTTGCAGGCCTTGCATTGCACGCCTCCGCGCGGTTCCTCCTCTAGCTTGTCTAGTTTCCTAGTGCGCGCGTATGCATTGCGACGCCGCGCTTAGAGATGCAGGATGCCCTGCGGCGCCACAGCGCAGGATGCCTTGCCTTCAAGAACAGAACTCTTGGTCTTGAAGTGCATGATGCCCTGCCTAAGTGCAGGATGCCCTGCGGTTCAACGCAGGATGCCCTGCCTTCAAGGCCAGCATGCTTGGTCTTGGAGTGCGGGATGCTTTGCTTAAATGCACAGGCGCGGTCCAAAACCTGACACGGAAAGAAAAATCCCGCAAGCAGAAAGCAGACGGCCTCAAACAAAACCACGCAGAGCCTGCCGATCCAAAACAGCCCAACAGCACGGCGGCGCCGCACAGCAAACCAAACGGCATGAAGCAACTGCGGGCGCGCGCGGATGCCTTGCAGGCCTTGCATTGCACGCCTCCGCGCGGTTCCTCCCCTGGCTTGTCTCCAAGTTTCCTAGTGCGCGCGTATGCATTGCGACGCCGCGCTTAGAGATGCAGGATGCCCTGCGGCGCCACAGCGCAGGATGCCTTGCCTTCAAGAACAGAACTCTTGGTCTTGAAGTGCAAGATGCCCTGCCTAAGTGCAGGATGCCCTGCAGTCCAACGCAGGATGACCTCCCTTCAAGGCCAGCATGCTTGGTCTTGGAGTGCGGGATGCCCTGCTTAAATGCACAGGCGCGGTCCAAAACCTGACACGGAAAGAAAAATCCCAGACAGCTTCAAACAGTGCTAATTTTCCGCGTGCAGTGACCACGCTTTCTGCGCGGGATGCCTCGAGTATAGGTTCGTTTTCCGCGCGCAGCGGTCGGCATTTGCTCGTGCTGAGCCCGCAGTCTCCAAGATTGGGCGCCGCCGGTCTTCTTGCTCCAGGCTTGTTAGCGCAGGGCACATTACATCGCCATGCTCAAAGGCTTGATTGGAGATAGGCAGTAGTGCCAACTGTTCCAGCTCATGTTGCCAAGCTGAATGCCAGCGAAGTCATTTGTCGCGATGTCCCAGGAGCGGGATCGGACGCGTAGCCCATGCCGCACACCATTGACTCCAACGCAAGTGCAGCGCACTCCGAGTCCACAGCAACCAGAAGCCTCATCGCGCTTGCGTCCACTGGTGGGGGGCTTTCGCGGCTCTCCGGGTGGCACTGGCTTCAGCGAAGGGCATCCCTTCTCCCCAACCCAGGTCGACCCAGCACAAGCCGCCCCGGACCCCTTGGCCAGCGCTGACTTGGACGGAGTGCACGCATGCGTCGCTGAGTACGCCGCGCCGCTCCTGCGACGGCTACGGGGGCCACAAGCAGACTGGCCTGCGGCGGAGGATTTCGCCAAGATTCCTAACTGGCCAGCGCATGCTGTCCCACGCCCGGCAGCCTTGTGCTTTTCTGAGATTGCCAGTCTGGGCTCCGAGAAAGCAGACTTGGACGCCGCTGGCTCTCGCCTGTTGCCATCTTGCTGTAGTGCTTTGCCGGTTGAGGTGGCCCTTCTCTGCCTCTCGCGCTGCACAGGGTTCCCGGACAAGCTGGTGCATCAGGTTTGGTCGACAATGCTCGCTGCGTGCTTGCATATTGACATGCAAGTGGAATTGAAGGCAACTTTATCAGTCACCCCGAGGGTGCCGTGCATCGGCATTGCAGCCCCGGGGTCGAAGAAGACCCCCGTGCAGCAGGAGTTGATACACAGGGTGTTTTGCGACGTCATGGATCGCATGCCCTTCCTCGCGCACAACTCTGCAAGCGCGGGTGAAAGACTTCTTTTCGACGGAGGAAGCACTGCGGGTTTCGTGAAGCAGCTGAAGCAAAACTCCGGCTATATCTACTTAGTTGTAGAGGAGCTAGTCAGCTTCTTCGACGCAAGTTACGCTAGCTCTGGCGCTACGAACACAGGGCAACACGTAGCCCCAAGTACATTGCTTCCACTCAGAACTGGCAATGGCCTCGGCAAGGCCTTGAGCTCTGATTTGTCCAACAGGGTTGACCGGACGCAGGCTGCAATCTCTATGATGGCGCAGGAGGACGTCATTAGAAAGTTCTTTTGCGCGAAGGGCATGTCCGCTGCTTAGCTTGGGCATCGATTGTTAAGCAGCAACGGCACGCAGCTTGCGCCCACCCGTTTGGTATCTTACGCAAGCAGTCGCGTGTGACGATTGTCATGAAGGTGTTTTTGCCCTAACAGCTGGCGGTTTTGGGGGCTTCTGCCATAGTAAAATGGTTCGGCGCAAACACGAAGCGAGTGGTAAATGGATAGGCTCCGGTTGCGAGAGCGGCGCTCTTGAATATTTTGCGAGCTTTTTTTTTTTGAGCGACGTGTCTTTGCCAAAAAAAGTCCTGACATGTAGTCGAGCGCTTGTGGCTGCCTTGGGCTGTGCGTCTGAGGTCCACGGGCTTTCTACAGGGGTGGTGCTTCACCGTGGCCCACGCGCAAGCTTGCCGGTGGGATGACATCGGTGCCTTGCAGCCCATTCGCGAATTTCTTGGCGGAGTCGTAGAAAGCGCGCTGCGGATCTTTGGGCCCGCCAGCTCGGCGCGCAAGTTGTCCTTGACCAACGAGGCCAACAAGCTCCTTGCTCAGGTTCACAATTTCTTCGAAGAGCAAAAACTATCTACGCAGCAGCGGGTGTCAGTCAGGGACTATGTCTCCAAGCACTCGCAATGGATTGGCAGCTACATCGCCGTGGCTCACGTGGAAGAGGAAACTTTGCGCTACCTGCAGTTCACGCTCTGCGCCGTGCCTGCGGTTCAACATCGCACGATGGACCCGAGGGGGAATCCAGCTGATGTCCCCGCACAGTGCGTGTGCGATCTGCCGGTTGTGTTGAAGGTCTGTAAGCGCAAAGGCAAGGGAGCGCAGTCTAATGTCGGGCGGCAGTTCTGGTGCTGCTCCGAAGCAAGTGCCTTGGTCACACAGTTGCAAGGGTCGTTTGCGTCGCTCGGATGTTGCTCTGTTTTTGTGTTTGACGCGCACGGTCCGCGGGTGCGGTCAGGGTGTGCCTTGCCAGGCTCCGAGGATGGCTGCGACTTCTTCAGGTGGTGCGACGAGCCAGCTTCCCTGGGACCCCTGCGGCAAGATCTGTCAGATCTAGTGGACGAGAGGCACGCTGTGGACACCAAGGCCGGCGTCCGAAGCGTTCAGCGAGCGCTTGTCAAGTTCACGGAGGCAGCCTTCTTTCTCAACGTCATTGCCTTTGAGACGGAGATGCGGCTGCAGACCAAGCAGTCACAGGAAATCTTCTGCTCTGGGGATGTTCTGGAGTGCAAAGTATGCGGAGAGCCGATGACATCCACGGAGCGCTTGCTGGCGGAGGTCATGAGAGCACTTCCCGACGAGCAGGAAGTAACGCTCAGCGCTTTGAGAAACTCGGCTCGATTGGGTCGGGCTGCCATGGGCCCTCGTCATCTATCGGCTGCTCAGTTCGATGAGGTTTGCGAGCTGGCACGTGGGCTTGGTATAGCTGATGTCCACCAAAGACGGGCTGGTGGGGCTGCAGGGCGTCAGCAACGAGTGCTTGCAAAGCGTGTTTTGACAGAGGAGACCAAGAGGGCGATGGAAAATTTGCGTGTGCCTCTCTGGTGCTTTCCGGCAGCGTGAGCAGACCCAGCTGCGGAAGGCAAGCTTCACTTTGGCTGCTGATGGGCACGGCTGCCAACGAGCACAATGTCTGCGTTTTGCATGCTTCCGGTTATTCTATATGGTGCGACACGTGGCGTGCCTGCGAGTCGCGGAAAAAAAAGCTTCTGCAGTCCGTGTACTCTGCCTGCGCACGACGTGTTCCAGCTTGCGAGACAGCTGTTTCAAGGCTGAGTTTCCGTGCTTGCTCAGAACGTTCGGCAATTCAAGGCCGGTCCAAGCTTTCAGTTGCTCCAGGCTCTCCCACGCTTCAACGCAGTGTCGTGGAGCATACGTTTCCGGCTCTGCGGGGAAGGTAGCGAGGTCGTCCTTTCGAGCCCCATCAGATGGAGTGGGAGCAGCAGGCCGTCATCCGGCTGTCTCCCGACTTCGATGTGACCAGCCACGCCGAGTGCCGCCGCGCCGTGCTCGCGTGGCTCGCACAGCAGTCCATGGAAGCAAAGATGAAGATTGGCCGCTCAGCTGGTGAGCACGTGGCAGTGTATGCGTATTGCCAAACGCATAAAGACTGTCCTCGCAAGTGGCGTCATATCTTCCAACTCACAGAAGACGGCGCCAAGGAGCACATCGTCCACGTCAACGGCAACCACGCCACGGAGCCCAGGCTGGTTCGAGGCACTGCAGTGGCAGTGCGTCGGCAGGCAGACGCATTGACCGAAGCCAACACGCCAATGCAGGCCATGGTGCAGCTGGCGGCGCAAGGTGCAGAGATGGAGACTTGGCCCTGCACAGCAGCCTTGGTGCAATCTCGCCGGCGAGCCGTGCGGAAAAAGAGCGCGTCGGCAGAGTTCGGTGGAGGCACTGGCTTGGGTCAGTGGCTGGAGCACTTGCGCAAGATCAACGAGGATGGGAGCGTCTGGAGCACCGTGGTGCGCGAGGACGGATGCGGCATCGTCACCTGCCAGAAGTTCGCCGACGCTTCCTGCCTTCAAATTCGCTACGTTCTTGTCTTTGCACCCACAAGCAATCTGCACCCACAAGCAAGTTGGAGGCGACTGATGTTCTCCCTTGCTTTTGTTTCAGTTTCTTTGCCACGCCATTTGATTCAGCTGGTTGTTTTCTCCACTTCGGCGGTGGGATAGGCTGCCGGGCTAGTTGGGGCAGCTGCGCAGCTGAGGCTGCTGCAGCGATGATTGCTCAAGCTCGCGGCGGAGACCATGACTACCTTGTCGGCGTGCATGACTGCACGTACAAGGTCTTTTCCAGCGATTGGGGCCTGTGGAAGTTCTGCTTGTGCGCGAAAAAGTACGACCGCGAAGGTATTCCTCGAACCACTTTGGTGCAAGTAGGCTTAGGCTTTGTGCCCAAAGAAGGGCAAGAGCACATGCTCACGGTGCTGCACCTCATGAAGGAATGGCACTCCTCGAAGAACAATGACTTGAGTCAGTTTCTTCACCAGGTTCACGCTGACGAAAGCTTAGGTGGGCAAAACGCCTTGCGAAAGGCGTTCCCCAAGACTGTGTTCGTCTTAGATGTCCGACACCAGGTGTCATCCATCATGAGGCGCGCCGGCTCCAAGAAAGAGGTGCGGGCAATGGTGGCGGCAAACATGCAGTTTGCGCTGAGTGCTCTGGGATTCTCCAGGCCTTTGTTCAGCCTTTACATTGACAGCCTCTTAGTGAGGTTAGTCGAGCTCGGAGAGCTGGACCTGGCGGCCTATCTGCAGAAAGACATGGTGGAAAAGGTGACTGTCGAAGGGAAAGAGATGTGGACTTCGGCCTGCTGCTGCTTCATCTCGCTGCTGGGGACTTCCGTGAAGTTCCAGTCCCACGAAGTTTCTCGGCGGCAACTCGCTCCGCCTCTGACTAGGCCCTAGACCCAAACCCCACCCGCTGAGGCGAATCCTGGGATGACTTCCACCACCATTTCCCAATCGCTCGAAGCTTCCTGGCATCACATGAAGAAGCTCTTGCCTGGCAACGTGGCAAAAATGCCTGCTACAGATGCTTTGAACCACATCCTCAAAGCTACGGAGGCGTGGGATTGCGCCAAGGGTTCCGCTGTGAGCTCTGGTGGGCGCTGTCACTGTTCCACGTGTTTTCGCTCGTGTTGGAAGTATCGTTTAGCGATTTGTAGGGTAGTGCGCAGCGTGCGGCGCCGCAACGACCCGTCGACTTTGGTGCGCCCCTGCGGCCTCGTCAGGCAAAGTTGGGCGCGGATGACGCCGCCGCGAAGCAGCTCAAGCTCAAGCTGGGCGGTATCTCTAGCCGCCTGGTCAGCGGCGAAGCCATCTTCACGGAAAGGGTTAAAGTCCTTGACGATCACCAAATGAGGCTGCCGTGCGCACGCTTGCTGTGGCAATCTTGCCCCGGCAACACGAAGAGCTTCGAGTTTGATATTGGTGAGGTCGGCGACGTCCGTCAAGCATTTGTGCTCCCAGTCACAAATGCCTCCATGGTGGTGGACGATGATGTGGCTTGCTGCATGGTGTCCCTGCTGCGGCTCTGCGACTCTTCCGTGGCAGACGTCCTTCGGCTGCACTTCTGTCTGTAGAAAGCACTTGTGTGACCCCACAG